AAAAAAAAAAAAAAAAAAAAAAAAATGACGATAGCCGTGGTAATCATGAAGCTGCTACCGTTAGAAAGGGTTGCAGACTCATCAAGGGTCATGGTGTCATTACTTAGTCGTAAATACCCTTACAAAGGGCTGTGATGGACGAGGAACCCCTTCGGAGTGATGGTGGTCGCTAGGGCGAGGGCCATTACGATGGCGAAGGACAGGATAAGAGTGATGGGGGTTGGGAGCGAATTGATAAGTCAGGGGAGTAGGAAGAGACGAAGTAGAAGGAGAAGCAGCATGGGAAATGGAATAAGAAAAAAAAAAAAGAAAGCTAAGGAGAGCCCTCTCGCACATCGCAGGCACAGTTCAAATTTCTCAGACGCAACTTTTGTATTGTATATGATGGGACGCTGGACCCGTTTCCAGCAGGTGATGTTCCCCACCAATAGATGGAGCCCCCCTATGGTGTTTAAAAAAAAAAAAAAAAAAAAAAAAAAAAAGGGAGACACTTGCTGCTGCCTCTGGTGGTGGTGGTAGTCCTGATGGATGATGGTCGTGAGTGGGGGTATAGCAGGATTTGAAACCTGCAACCATGGTGGCGATGGAGAATGGAAGCACTGACTTATAGCTATAAGGTTATAGCAATGACGAAGGTGGAATCGCTATAAGGTTATAGTGAAGGCGGTTTAGTTCAAACCGTAGGTTGACAGCGATGATGGTGGGAATGGTGGCTTTTTTTTTTGTTTTGTTTTTTGTTTTTTTGTTTTTTTTGAAAACAACCCTCCAGTGCTAGTGGTGCTGATAAAAGCAGACACCACTAGCACCTAGGGGGCTCCATTTATTGGTGGGAAGGGGGCTCTATTTATTGGTGGGAATGGTGGCTAAGTTAAAAGCACACACTACTTTTCTGCCTGTTTGCCTTGCCGAGCACTGGCAAGGGGCTGAATGTCCTACCTTCTTCCGTCGTATGGTCATTATAGCTGTATTTGAGGTATCTTTCAGTCTAAGTACAGATATAATGACCGTACGTTCTATTCAGGGGAAGAAGGTAGTAGTTGCGAGGAGCATATGCCTGCCGTGTCCACCCAACCTTTCCTATGCTTTCGAGACTCACAATTTTTGAATGCCCTTGAAGAAGAAGCCTGATGTTGTGTAATGGTCTTATAGGAGCATCAAAGCTGTTTTGATCGCCGGTCATGCCTGCCATGTCTACATTTTGTTTGCCACCTTTTCCCTTTTTGGCGGGATTTGCAAGTTCGAGTATGCCCGTGGCAGGTTGACTTTCTTCCAGGCGTGTCAAAAGGAAGAAGGTGACTCACTTGGTGTGTGTGTGTGTGTGTGTGTGTGTGTGTGCGTGTGTTGTCAAATTCGCTGTATAGAACTTCACACAAAGTGTGTGTGTGTGTGTGTGTGTGTGNGTGTGTGTGTGTGTGTGTGTGTGTGTGTGCGTGTGTTGTCAAATTCGCTGTATAGAACTTCACACAAAGTGTGTGTGTGTGTGTGTGTGTGTGTGCGTGTTGCATACTGTAATGGTGCAGACCAGAACAAGAACCGACCTCTCTCACAAAGTACAAGATAGCGTAGTGGAAGACTTAGATACCAATGATCCGAACAATCAATATTGCAATGCAGCCCCGAACATATATCATGATCATCACTCCATGGTGTGAAGGGGTCTGGCGCTCACACAGGAAGAATGCGCCAGCCCCAACCATACACAGACAAGAAGAGAGGGGTTAGACGAAGAAGAGGGGAAGATGGGAATGTCGTCAACACCAAGTCTTCGGCACAGGCCCAAATAGTCCCTCGTCAAAATGTCTGAATCCCAATGAGTTTGGATCCAATGTCGTCAAGTCTCAAGTCACAACTCTCTCTCTCTCTGTGTCTTAGTCTGCAGATACTGAGAAGTCAGATAGGGAGAGGGTGAAGAAGAGATGGTGGACTTAGAAGAGGAAGAAGAAGAACTCTCTCTCTCTCTCTCTCTCAGTCCGGTACTAACCTGTGAAGCTGGCGCCTTGATGCAGGTACCTCGAAGATGAAGCTGGAGCTATGGTGCCACAGGTAAGTCTCACTGGCCTCCGCCAGCCATCTCTCTCCAACACTAGTACCACTACCACTACTTAGCGCCGTGCGCTGAAGACTACTCCTACAGCTACTAGCGCCCAGCGCTGAAGACTACTGCTAGCGCTAAGCTACTACTGCAGCGCTCCGGAGTGCTGCTGCCGAATCCTGAAGACTGCCTCCTGCCTTCTGTCCAACTACCTACCCGTGAAGTGCATGGGAACTCCCTATGTACTACCCGGCCTGCCTCCTGACTGCAGGGCGAGGCAGTCCAGGAGGCTGCTCTTGCCAATGCCACGGCAAGCCAGGGGCTGGCGCTGTAGCTCCTGCTGAGGCTGGCTTGGGGAACAGGCCAAAAATAGCCTGTTCCCAAAACCCTGGTTTGTTGCCTGAGTTCTAGGGCAGGACGATCTTACGAGGGCCCGAAAGTGGCCCTCCGTTTCAGGCTGAAAAGGCTGAAGGCTGAAAAGCCCTGTTTTAGGCTGAAAACGAAATAGGGCCTGCAGGCCCTTGTTTTCAGTTTTCAGGCTGAAACGACATGGGGCCTGTAAGCCCTTATTTCTAGGCTTTTAGGCTGAGAATGCGGGACGGGGCCTGCAGGCCCGTGTGGCTACACAGTATGCCACCCCCCCCCCTCCTTGAAAGACCGAGCTTACCTGCGAGGGTGAAGCTGTCTGTCTAAGGGAGGGACCACAGTCTGGGTGGGAGGGACAGGTCATGAAGGTCCCTGAGCTAACCTTTGTCGCTCGTAGTGAGCGTAGATCAGCGGTGCGGATGCTTTCAAATCTGTTCCTGAAATCTACCGAGTGGCGTGGGGATCGCATGCTTTGAATGTAACTTTGTACTGTCGAGGCTTGCTGCCGTACTTGCGATCCGTGATGACGCGATCAACTTCCTAATGACCATCCATAGATGGAGGGTCCTGCGATCGTCAGCCCGGGAAGTCGTCGCTCTTAGCTGGTGTATATGTTGCCAGCTTCGAGGCGTGAAAGACTGGATGAACCGTCAGATGCGGGGGGATGTTGATCACAAATGAAGGGCCATCGGGCTCATCACCCGCGGCTGATATTACGGGCCATGGTGCAAACCACTTGGGAAGCAGTTTGCGTGAAACGTCCTGTTCCAGTGCAAACTCTTCCGCGGAGACCCAAACCAGATCACCGACGCGGATGGGACATGGCACGCGACGCCTGTTGGCTTGCTGCTGCATGCGGACTTGAGCCTTTTGCATATTCGTGCGGGCTTGAGCCAACAATTCCCTGTACTTCCGGACGGAAGCGGGAGAGCAAGCGGCGTCGATGTCGGCTGGTCGTGGGAGGAGAAGGTCAGCGAAGATACGACCTTTCCGTCCACCGTGGTGCAACTCGAATGGAGTCCTGCGGATCGTCGGGTGCACCGAAGTGTTGTAGGCGAACTCGATATTGGGGAGGCGGTTAACCCAATCTTTCTGGTCTGGACGGATGAGCGTACGAAGCATCATTTGAGCGGTTTGATGTGCCCGCTCCGTTTGCGCGTCCGTCTGTGGATGCCGAGCCGAACTTGGTTTCATCTTTGTGGCGGACTCCTGCATGAGAGCAGTCCAAAATGTCGACATGAAGCGAGTGTCGCGGTCGCTGACTATGTCTTCCGGTACACCGTGGCCGAAATCCAACCGGTGTGCAAGAGGCGTGCCAGCTCGGGAGCCGTGGAGTAGTACTTGCAAGGGAGAAAACACGCATACTTACTCAAACGGTCCACAACCGTGAGGATGCCGTTGTATCCGAGGTGATCGCAGGGAAATGGTCCGGTGACATCCATGGCAATGGAGAGGCCGGGTTCCCGTGGGATAGGCATCAGGCGCAACTTGCCGTAGGGGCTGCGATTGCGGGGCTTGCTTCGTCGGCAAACTTCGCAAGAGTCGCAATACCGAGTGACATCGGTAATGAGGTCTGGCCATCGGAATTGTTGTCGAAGCCCTGCAATAGTGCGGCTGACACCCAAATGGCCGGCGAGTCGCGAGTCATGGTACTCGCCGAGAAGGCGAGTCCGAAGACGATGGTCTCGTGGGACACATAGTAAGTTCTTGCCTCTCGAGTGGAGGAGCAAGTACCCGTCGGCAATGCGATAGTGGCTGGCCGGCGGGTGATCCGAAGATAGCTGCGCATACAACGTGGCGAAGTCCGGATCAGACTTATAGCCCCAGATGAAGTGTTGCTGGAGTTCCTCGTCGAATGCGAAGGCATGATGTGTCATAGCGCAAAAAACAGGTTTTCGCGAGAGTGCATCTGGTGCACGATTGGAGAGGCCGGGGAGATGTTTCGGTGTGAAGTCAAATTGGTCGATGAAGTACATCCATCGTTCGATCGTGCTGCTCACCGTATCCTGCGTCTTGTAGTAGGTCAATTGGTTGTTGTCCGTGACCCATGTGAACCTTCGACGCCCAAGGAGGAAGTGCCACCATCGCTTGAGAGCCATCACGAACGTGAGCAACTCCTTCTTCCTTGCATCATCAAGTGAATTGATGGGAGGCACTTTGTGGCTGAAATACTCCACAGGGTGCCAGTCGTCGCCGTCGTGTTGCTCCAAGACTGCCCCAATGCCATAGCCGGAAGCGTCAATTGTCACTCTCGTAGGCAGGGTGGGGTCATAGATGCTAAGGACGGGTGCCATGAGCATAGCCGTTTTAAGTGCTTGGAATGACCGGCGTGCGTCGTCATTGAATACGAATGGCACCTTTGGCGATTGTAATCTCGTCATAGGTGCAGCAATCCTTGAGTACCCGGTGATGAATCGCTGATAGTAGCCCGCCAACCCCATGAATGAATGAACGTCCATGGTGTTGGTAGGCTCGGGCCATACGCGGAGGGCCTCGATCTTGTCTGCAAGCGGACGGATGCCTTGCGGCGTCACATAATGTCCCAAGTACTCCAGCTCCTGCCGCGCAAATTCGTATTTGTCGCGGTTGGCTTTGTACTTGGCTTGTCGTAGCCGCTCCAAAACGGTGCGCAGGTGCTCCACATGCTCGTCTAAACTTCGACTGAAACAAATTATTGAAGCTAAATTGGCTTTAAAGCGATCTAAAGCTCGTTTAGAAGCTAGTAGTACAATTTCCTAGAATAATCAATAATAAATAGATGTATAAGTGTACACCAAAATGTCGTCGAGGTAGATAAGTACGAATCGATCCAGCATGTGTCGGAACGCCGCTTGGAAAGTGGCTGGGGCATTCGTAAGGCCAAACGGCATAACCAGCCATTCGAAATGCCCATATCGCGTCTTAAACGCGGTCTTGTAGCGGTCCTCCTGCCGAATCTCGAGTTGGTGATATCCCGACTTGAGGTCAAGCTTGGAGAAGAACTTGGCGCCGCCCAGCCGTTCGAGGAGGTCGTCGATGCGTGGAAGAGGGCCGACGTTTCTGACCGTTTGCGCGTTGAGCTTGCGATAATTGATGCACAAAGCCTTGTTCTTCTTCCGGACGAAGAGAACGGGAGCACTGCATGGCGATGAGCTAGGCCGAATCCAACCTTTCTCCAGAAGGTTGTCGAGTTGTGCCCGTAGCACACTTAACTCTTCCTYGCTCATTCSGTAGATGCAACCACGTGGAGGTACAGCCCCGTCCTCGAGGATGATCTCGTGGCGGATGGGCCGATCCGGTACTACTCCGTGCGGGCCTTCGAACACGTCGCCGTAGGCGTCGAGAAGTTCGGTGATGCGTGGGTCCGAAGATGAGTCCGTCGATGAAGCGTCATGGGGCGGGAGGGCGTGGAGAAAAACACCCCCATCTCCTCGATGTCGTCTCTGATGATGGAAACTCGCATGCTTGTGGCGGACACCACGTGGCAAGGGTAAGGAGGAGGCGCCGTGCATGGGACTAGTACTCCGTTCCGATCACGAACGTGAACGGTGCGGCGAAAGATGTTTATCGGGTGATCCTCGCTTCGCAGCCATGACATGCCCAAGATCATGTCAAATTTGGTGTCCAAAATATCGAAGGACACCGCCTCGCTTGCATGCGGGGCAAAGTACACGGGGGCGTCATCTATGCACCGGTCTATTGACTTGTGCGTGTGACCGTCCGCCAACGTGACTTGCGTAGGCTGGGACTTCCTCCGGACGCGTGAGCCAAGGCTGGCGCGTTCCATAAAGTCCTGGCTCATGTAGTTGCGAGATGCTCCGCAATCGATCAAAGCGCTACAGGTCGCCTCTCCGATCTGAATGCATATATATAACAATGGTGCGTCGATGTCGTCGTACCGTTGTGTCCTGAACTCGCGGTCAATCTTCGCAATGTAATTGTGAAGGTCGACAACCTCTACTCCGGCGTCCATCAACGAAGTTGGTTGCAATGCGGTTTCGGCAATCGACCGGACCGGGGAAGGGGCATCCATTGGAAGTCCGCAAACGTCAACGGGTCGAGCTCTTCAAGTCTTGATCATATCGTCGAATCCCCGGCTATAGATGGCGGCGAAGCTGCCGACTTGGTTGCCGATGGTAGTGAGACCGTGCATGCGGTAGATTGTTGCACGCGGAGCGGTTGGTCCAACGGTGGGACCAAGTGGACAGCATAGTCCTCGTAAGTGTACCGAGAACTTGCGACATTCGCATCCTCCCCAGATGTGTAGGAGGCCGCACCGTGGACAGCATAGTCCTCGTAGGCGGCCGAATCTGGCGGAGTGAGAGGTGGAGTCGCCTCACCTCCCGCGGAACTCAGTTTTCCGAGTTGATACGAGGCCGAACATCCTCCTTGCCTTGATCCGGGCATTGGGAGGTTTTGTGCTTGGTGCTGTTGCACCAATAGCAGCAGTTGTAGCGGCCACGCCACTTGTATTCGGCCTTGGTCAAGTGAAACTTGACCCCTGGTGCTGGCTATTCGTTTCCGGTCGGCGATGCGGTTTTCGCCTTCCCGTTCCCTCGGGACTTGTTGTTGCTTCGCGGCTGGACAACAACCACCTGATCTCCCTCACGTGACGCTTGGGTGGCTGCCGGGTTTTCCACAATGTTGTCCGATTGGACTGCAGCGACATGCTGCGGCCGTGGACCAGTTTTCACCTTCTCCACGTAGGTTGGCTGCCATGCTGATTTCTCGTGTGCAGCTGCCCTATTGGTCTTGATGATCTCCCTTGCCTTGTCGATGATTTCGGCGCAGGTCGCGTATTGCTCGCGATCACCAAGTGCAAGGCTCAAGGCGGCACATGACCGGTTGTAGAACTCGCGGCGCAGATGCGAAAATGGCGAGTCAAGATCGAGGGTTGCCGCGATCTTTTGCCATTCCGTGAGCTAGTCACGTTGTCATGCCCCCACCTTTCCAGGGCCTGGTTTGATGTCCCTCCCCAGGTCGAGTGCGGTGGGTTGGTGGACTGGCAGGCTGTCACGCAGGAGTTTGGAAAGTTTTGGGAAAATTAGAAGTGAAATCACAAGCAGCCTTTGTCACACAGTCGAGTAGTCAAGGTTATCCCTCCTGCCAGCGGCGACACGACTTAGAGTGAGGCGTTCGGTTTTATCGCCTGCACCTGACCCTGTATAAAGGTTGGACTCAAGGTCACTGGAGTCCCTATTATCCAGGAGTCCTTCAAGTAGCCTTGAGCGTAACCTGATATGGAGTGATAAATATCTTGTTATCTCATGCATAAACATTACATGCATCATAAATCAAATGACACTGAGAGGACGAAAAGACCAGAAACCAGACTCTGCAAGAGCATGACCAGAGACACGAGACTGAAAAGTAGTACACAAAGAATACAGAAAGCAACCATAAAGAGAGGGCTGCAGTCACTGATAAATAATAATAATGTCGTAATACATCTCAGTGACTAAAAGATTCGATCCTCAGTCAATGACGACAAGTGGTACCCCCTCATGAGTGGGCTCGACTGTCTGGGACTCTATATCTGGTATATGCTGGTCCTCCTCATCATTGAGAACCTGAGTGGCCATCGACTCTGGGACCACGTAGCTGATGTCAAAGGACGCCGTAGGATCGATCTTGTTGATATATGCCATATATCTGGCCATCTCCTCGTCCGCAACGCTCCGAAGGTATAACTCCTCAGCGAGGGAAATGCTGCCAGTGGCACCGATCAAGATCTCGATTCGCCCCTTGCCGTAGATGTAGTCATATGAAACCTCCAGAAAACGGTCTCCATAGAGAGGCTTCCGAAAAGCTTGGATGACGAAATCTGCTCCCACCAAATGGCTGTAGCCATCCCCAAGATATGGGACTGGTCCCTTCCCCCTCGAAGGGCCGACTACCTCCTCTGACTTGGGTCCTCCTGACATGTAATGTCCAAATCAGTCACCCTCAAGCAAATATCGTGCCAAAAGATAAGCAACCCATCGTAGGGCTGCTTTCCGCCTGCGTCTCGCTCCAGTGACCAATGTCATAAGATGCTCTGGGCCTGCTCGAAACTCAAGCGTATTCAGTCCCTGTGAGTATCCCAGTCAAAATAGTCCCCCGGATCAACATCGCTCACGCAGCAAGGCTCTTGGTCTGACTCGTCCGTCTCTGACCTCTGTAGACAGGTGGTAATAGGTATCCCGGATCTGGCCACCTCGCTCCTGATCCTCCTATCTTGACGCCTCTTTTCCTTGTTGCCACCTCTGCTCAGCGGCTTAGGATTGCAGCCGTCAAAGTCATAGAGAGCTCCACCTGGTGCAAAAGGGATCTGGGGAAACACCACATGTAACCAGTGTTCCCTCCAGTAACTCTCCCTGTGGAAGATATAGTCAGCAATCCGGCCGTAGGTGGTTCCCTTCACTCCCTGCCCAACATCTCTCACGCGATAAGTGATCACCAATGTGTACCTTGATGTGGGAGACTCGTTGGCTCGAATAACGAAGCTCTGATGCCCAATGTGTCGATAGCAAAACTTCTCAACCAGCTTACCCTGTGTAGGGGTTGTCTCACGTTGAGAAGCCAGCTTGACCAGTCTGCAAAATAATATAGAATGCCCCTGGCAAGCTGCTATGCCAAGCAATGATGTCCTGGAGACGAGGGGGATATCAATAACTCAACTCGATAGGGTCAAAGAGGACAGCACCTCAATAGACCCTCAAGCCAAACTGGTGGCAACCAACTCAATATAGGGGCCTATCTGAGTGGGCCCGGCTGAACAGCAACAACTCGATATAGGGGCCCGCCTGAATGGGCCCGGCTGACCATCAATCATCTTAAAAAAAGGGGTCCGCCTGAGAGGGCCCGGCTGAACAGCAACAACTCGATATAGGAGCCCGCCTGAATGGGCCCGGCTGATTAGCAACAACTCGATATAGGGACCCGCGTGAATGGGCCCGGTTGATCAGCAACAACTCGATATAGGGGCTCGCCTGAATGGGCCCGGCAGATCAGCAACAACTCGATATAGGGGCCCGCCTGAATGGGCCCGACTGATCAGCAACAACTGATATAGGGGGCTGCCTGAATGGGCCCGCCTGAATGGGCCCGGTTGAATGGCAACTCGTCAACTCAGCAACTCGTCATAACAATATCATACGAACATCTCTGCAGCAAGTGGACTAGAGCATGAGGGCTGAACCGTAAATATCGTCACTGAGAGAAACTGATCATCAAGATATTATCTATGCAGGGGCCAGTTGCAAAATACTGCGCGTGCAGACCGGACCGCCCTGATATCATATGTGCAGGAAAAATATCGTCCGCACAGGGTCTGATATGAATATCGTCCATGCAGAGACTGATCAGCAAGAAATCAAATCAGCGGGATTTTGGGGCTAATCATACCATCAATCGCATTCAATCACGTCCTCAAGACTAATCACACTCGCTGGACATGCATCCCCGATCATTGTATCGGCGGGACACGCGTCCTAGAATCATTGGAGAACGCACTCGTATAGCCTACTCGAGCCTGGGCGCACTCATGTGAAGTACCAAGCGCGGGCGCGCAAGGGCGCACACTCTAGATCAATACTAAGCTTGGGCGCGCGTGGGCGCGCGCTCAAATCACGGTTTCAAGCTTGGGCGCGCACTCAAATCGCACTGTCGAGCATAGACGCGCACGGGCGCGCACTCAAATAGTAATAGTGATCATGGGGGCACGTGAGCGCATAATCAAATGACAATATCTAGCTTGGGCGCGCATGGGCGCGCACTCATATAGCAATACCGAGCTCGGGCGCGCACGGGCGCACACTCATATAGCAGTACCGAGCTCGGGCGCACACGGGCGCACACTCATATAGCAATACCAAGCTCGGGCGCGCACGGACGCACACTCATATAGCAATACCGAGCTCGGGCGCGCACTGGCGCACACTCATATAGCAATATCGTGCTCGGGCGCGCACGGGCACACACTTATATAGCGATACCGAGCTTGGGCGCGCACGGGCGCACACGGGCGCGCACTCTAATATCACTGCCAAGCTTGGGCGCGCATGGGCGCGCACTCTAATATCAATGCCAAGCTTGGGTGCACACTCTAACAGTCAATGCCTAGCTTAGGCGCGCATGGGCGCACACTCTGACAACAATGCGGAGCTTGGGCGCGCATGGGCGCACACTCTAACAGCAATGTCAAGCTTGGGCGCGCATGGGCGCGCACTCTAACAGCAATGCCAAGCTTGGGCGCACATGGGCGCGCACTCTAACAGCAATGCCAAGCTTGGGCGCGCATGGGCGCGCACTCTAATGACAATGCCAAGCTTGGGCGCGCATGGGCGCGCACTCTAACAACCAAACTGAGGCTGGGCGCACACTCAAATAGCCAAACTGAGGCTGGGCGTGCACTCTAGCAGCCAAACTGAGGCCGGGCGCGCACTCTAACAATCAAACTGAGGCTGGGCGCGCACTCAAACAGCCAAACTGAGGCTGGGCGCGCACTCAAAAATTATCAGAAGCAGTATACGCAGATTGAGTAAAATTCCACAGATTGAGTGCGCACTGTCGCACAAAATCAAAATCATCAAAGTCGAGTTTTGCATATCGATCATGCGGTGTCACACTCAAATTCGAGTGCGCACAGTTACACTTGCTCGGAATGATCAATGCTGAGTATTCAAATTGGGTGCACACTGTTCAAAATCGTCATGCCAAGTTTATAGATAAAGTGCGCACTGTCGCACATACTCAAAATCATCAAAGCGGGTTTCTCAGATAAAGAGCGCAGTGTTGCATTCAAATCTGAGTGCGCMCAGTCGCATATACTCAAGGTCATTAAAACGGGTTCCTCAGATAATAAGCGCAGTGTCGCACTCAAATCTGAGTGCRCACAGTCGCATATGCATCATTGGCTTTCTCAAAATAAGGGCGCAGTGTCGCACTCAAGTTTGAGTGCGCACAGTCGCAAAATCAGTGTACTCGATCTAAATGTCCCTTGGCAAACCAAAATCAGTGTACTCAATCTGGGTGCCTGTTGGCACAGTAAATTGGCGAAGATACTCAATATGAGAGCCTGCTGGCAATAAATCTCAATCTGGGTGCCTGCTAACACAATAACTCGGCAATGATACTCAATCTGAGTGCCTGCTGGCACAATAAATCGAAATGATACTCAATCTGAGTGCCTGCTGGCACAGTAAATTGCAATGATACTCAAACTGGGTGCCTGCTGGCACAGTAACTCGCAATGATGCTTAATCTGAGTGCCTGCTGGCACATTAAATCGACGACAATACTCAATCTGAGTGCAATAAATCGGCTTGCTCACACAAACAGCAACCCTCTGGTTCTCTAGCGCGATGCGCTCAGGCATACAGGCGATCTTCAATTCTCTGGCGCGGTGCGCTCGGGTATACAGGCAATCTTCAGCTCTCTAGCGCGGTGCGCTCGGGCGTACAAGCGATCTTTCGGCTCTTTAGCGCAGAGCGCTCAATTACACAGGCGACTTTCGGTTCTCCAGTGCAGTGCGCTCAGTCGCATAGGCAATCTTCGATTTACTATCACGGTGTGCTCAGACACACAGGCGATTCTCGATCTGCTAGCGCGGTGCGCTCAGACACACGGGCGATTCTCGATCTGCTAGCGCGATGCGTTCAGACACATAGGTGGTTCTCGATCTGCTAGCGCGGTGCGCTCAGACACACGGGCGATTCTAGATCTGCTAGCGCGGTGAGCTCAGACACATAGGCGATTCTCGATCTGCTAGCGCGGTGCGCTCAGACACATAGGCGATTCTCGATCTGCTAGCGCGGTGCGCTCAAACACATAGGCGATTCTCGATCTGCTAGCGCGGCGCGCTCAGACACATTGGCGACCCTTGTACTGCAATGGCGCACACTGAAGATGCAAGGGTGCTATCGCAAATAAAATAAAATAAAATTAAAAATTGGGGCCTTTTCATGAGCAGCAGGCCTGACTACGGGAAATGACAAGAGCGGGTAAGGGGAGGAAAAGAGAGAGAGAGAGAGAGAGAGAGAGAGAGAGAGAGAGAGAGAGAGAGAGAGACAGAG